GCGAAACGGACGTGTCATTAACGGAACCACGGCACACGTTGTGATTATCCAGGCAGTTTAGAACATCGCACGAGATTTGTCTCGACCTATTTTTACAGTCTATGGTCTCGACAGTCGACACAGAAAACATTCCATCAACACGATAGATTTTTTTTTGTTTTATTGAAAGTGTGGTTTCACAATTCACAACCAGTAGTTCAGAAGAAAAAAACTTCGGTCTTCCGACCTTTTAGTTTACCATCGTTTATTCTCAAAGGTATTCAGTCAACTCAATTCATAAACATGCGCGAGGGGGAGAGAGCAAGACATTTTGAAGACGGCGCGCGTGACCGGTGCTTTCACTCTCTCTCTCCTGTTCCCTCAACAAGCGAAAGACATTTTGAAGACGGCGCGCGGGACCGGTGCTCACTCTCGTTCCCTCAGTTAAACAAGCGCAGCAGTCACTCATCTACATCACTTACCGGTCAAATATGGCTTTGGCGGGACAAAAATACGCATAAGGAAGGCTGGCAGAAAACAGCTCACCAGTTCCAGTCTTCGTGCCCTTGATGTTTAAACGCACTTGCGATTTTAATACGCGCGCAAAAACAAACATCCCGCCCCCCACGCACGTCAAATACACAGGGAATGATCATCGGCCTGTTCACATCGGCCCTATTTTGACATCGGAACGATACCGATGTGTAAAAAATTGACCAAATCGGCCGATGTTATATCGGCGGCCGATATATCGTGCACCACTAAAAAATATGTATTTTGAGAAATCTGTATGAATCTAAATATTTTTATCTGTACAGTGGAAGACAATGTAAACAATGTTTGGGAACTTCCACTCAAAAAGATAAAAAAAAATAGTAAAATAAATCATTATCCATCAGTTTGCCTTCATGTTCTATTTTCAGATGTCAGCTTGGTATTTTAATGTGACATGGTGGTATCACAAACATATCAGTGGCCAGCTCTTTTCCCCCTGATTATTTTCTTTTTCTCTTTGTAACAATATGAAAAAAAGACAACATATACTGCATTCTTGTGGTCTGCTCTCGTGATTTACGTTACAGTATATCTCATGATTAATTCACTGGAATACTCTAAGAATCTCTCGCTTTTCTCCCTTAATCCACACGTCTCTTTTCCAGGTTTGGTTTCACATGGATGCTTTAAAATGTAATTGTCTCCTCTTTTCACGTCTAATCCTTATTTAGCGTTTACTGGAATGTTTCTAAATTTGTCAATATAACTGAAAGCACTTTGAGAAATTATAATGATTGTAATAAAGTTAATGAACATTTTTGATTAAGGCCACGTGTGTTACAAAATACAGAAATACTGTATATTACTACAGTGATATTTAACATGTCTGTCATATTGCTGCGGAAAGAATCAAGCTTTTCTGATAATTCATGGTGTGTTGAAAGTAATTTTCACTTTTCAATTCAATGGTTTTACACTTTTAAGTTTCCTTTTACTGTTTAATGATTGAAGGGTGAACAGAATAATGTCACTTCATACCCAGTTTTAAAAAAAGAGCTTATTGCATTCATAGCGAACCTTTCACTGATTGTTTACAGTTTAACAGAAGTTATTCCCAAAATTAGTGCAAAGCATCATGGGGTGTTGAATATTTGAATATGTTTAAAAATAGTGAGCTCACTTTGCAGGCATTACCTGTTTAATAGTGCCTGTTTGAATGAAGCTGACTGTTTCACCTGCAGACAGTGAGTATACTTCTATCTGTGTTTCTCCTCTCTGTGGGTTTGAGAGATTTGGTGTTGTTGAACCACTTTCTAACTCGTATGACACAGTGTTGTGCAATTAAACCTCAGCAGGGTGGCCGAATCTGACGTTGACGCTGGTGCAACTAAGACCTTTACTTTCTTACATCTGGAATTTTGTGTGTGACATTGTGCTGTGGTTGGTTGTGGGATAAAGCATTATCCACTGGACTCTGATGAGGGAGAGGGCTTTGAGTATAGAAGGATAAATGTGGGCAGTTGACTTTAGTGAGAAAAATCAGGGAGACAAGACATGAATGTCATGCAATATACACTTGGCTGCTCAAAAAAGTGTTTGGTAATTCTGTATTTTAAGCTTATTTGTATCATAGTTTTCAAGGCTGAATCCTCCAATTGTCATGTGGTATGTCAGGTAAATGATATATGAATTATCGGATACACAAGAACTATGCTTTTGTTATTGTTTTTATTCTGTCCCTGATGCAAGTAGGTTGCACCTCAACAGATGAGGGTTGAAGAAAAATTTGAAAGCAAAGAAGTTCTTTTTCAGTGTTTTACTTTGAAATGGTAAATGGACTGCATTTATATAGAGCTTTCATAGACCTAATGGCCACCAAAGCGCTTTTCATTTTTGCCTCACATTCACCCATTCTTACACCGACGGCGGCGTCAGCCATACAAGGTGCCATCCAGCTCATGGACACCTCGACACTTGGTCACAACCTACGCCGCATCTAGGGTGCTTCATGACATCACGACAAAAAGACTAGCATGTTTAATTTTTTAACAGTCGTCCGCAACGGTTCCGCACAGAAGCTTTTCCGTACATAACTATCAAAAATGACGAAACGAAAGAGAGACAATGGTGCTAACGTTAAAACTAAAAGTAAAAATATATAAGAAAACAATATTTTACCTCAAGTTCTCTTTGGAGGATTGACAGCCCATACTGTCCTCTTCGAGCAATCCAGGAACATGTCCATTGTTGGGTTTTCTTTCTTTTTTACTTTTTTTCTGAACACAGGACAGCCAATACAACACTCACCGTTTCATCCATTGTTTGTTAACCTTGTTTCCGGAAGTCACGCGCTACTAGTTTCGCCTTCTCAATGACATCACACGCGCCGTTAAAGACGGCATATTGATGACTTGTCCATGACACGACAAGATTTTAGGAGTCAAAATCGCGTAATCTGACACAGTGACTATCGTAACAGACAAAAAAAAATCGTGTAATCTGAACCAGGCATAATGGAGTCACATATTCATTTATTATGATACAGCTCGACATGCAAAATACTCTTTAATAATATTTGTATTACATGTCATTAAATCCCTGGCCTATAATTGTTACAGCATACAACACCAGTGCCACATGACAACAATGCCAATGATGCATACAACTGATGCATTCAAACAACTGGGCGTCACGTCTCACACTCAATTATATCCGAATCCTGGAAGGTAATTTAACCACAGCTAACTGCTTATTATAATTAGACATGAGATTTATTTATTTATTTATTTTTTTACTCATTATTTGATTGATAATTAACATCTCACAACTTTGACACTCTGGGCATGTGAAAAAGCAAATGTGTGTGAGAGAGAACTGACCGACTTGCAGAACACCTCTTACATGTGAAGCATTTGGAGCCTCCACCGTGCTCTCTCACTCTCTCTTTATCTTTTTCCCCTTTCAGTTGAGCTGTTCAGATTCATAAGCTCAATCATACATTCTCTCTCATTCCATTTTGCTCGTGCGCACACACACACAGTCTTCTTCTGTGCTGTCAGTGTGTTTGTTATGTGATATGTTCCTGGCTGGTCTGCAGTATTTCACCTGCTTTAGCTTTTTTTCCAGAGTGTGTTCACCAGACCAAATGATTTCTTCATGAATGAATTTCTGCATCTGCTTTAGTTCTTATTTCCCCATCCCTTCACCTAAATAGCTTAATAATTGATTGTAATTTCTGCATTTGTTCCTGACACTTGTTGGAATATGATGGATCAGTAAGTGAATTAATCTCTGATTGGATTGTTATGGGTCATTCTAGCCAAAACTGTGTTGTTCTTGTATGCTGCAGTCATGGTATCTTTGTCAGCAGACTCTACTTTCAAACAGTATCATCCCTGCTGAGTATTTTTACTGGAGCCATCTCTGTGTGCATGTGTGTGTGTTTGTGCGTGCATGTGTGTGTGTTCAATTTCATTTGTTTTGGAAGCTGAGCAGCTCTTGTCTCTGCCCCCCCCCCCCTCCCTCCCTCCCTCCCTCTATCTCTCCCTCCCTCTCCCTCTCACTCTCTCGTTCTCTCATGCCCACTGTCATTCTCTCTTTTTTTTTTTCCTGAACCAACCTCTCCTGCTCGCCTCACCTCTCCTCATTTTAAAGCAGAAATGCATCATGGGTTTTATTCAGGAATGTCTTGCAGGCTTTTAGTTGTAAGAGCATCTGTTCTGATGTGTTTTCTTGTGAAATATGCACAGGGAGGGATTGAGTTGTTAATCAGTGGATTGTTAGCTTTTTATTGTCTGGTTATTTCTAAATGAATATCTTGTCCAAAGGAGAAGCTAATAACAGGAATTAATTTAAAGTGGCGTCTGCCACTTTAAATGCTCAAGCTCTTCAAAGCAAGATGGATTCTGCTTGGCTAATAATGTTTTTATCGTTCATGCTGCTGGAAAAATAGTTCTGAAAGTCCTCTATGTTGTTGTTCATTATAGTTGTGGTGTGGACTTGCCTATTCTCATAGAATTAGAATGATTATTACAACTTTATAGGTGAACTGTCACTTTAATCTCACTGGTGGGAAATGCATAAAAATTTAACTAGACTGCATGTATTTCCGTTCTGGAGAAGAATGGTTTATTATTAATGTAATGTACATTGCCGTCTTTCTTTAATCTGCATTATTTGCCCTATCCTGTTTGGTTTCTCTGTCTCGTTTCTAAGCCTGTGGAATGTGACACTTCTGTTTGTGTGTGTTTGGGGCTGTTCCTGCATATTTCATAGCTTATACCAGTACTGAACTATCTTAGCCTGAGGAAAAGAGAGTGTGAGAGATGTGTTTGTATTTGAGTGTGTGCCTTCAGATGTGTGTATCAGTGTCTGAGCTGTGAGTAAGTGTATGTGTGTTTGCACAGTAAACAGTTTGGCCTATGCAAATTAAGTGTGTTTGGCGCTGGAAGTGTGATGTTGTCATCAAGTTGGCTCAGAATGTGCGTGTTCATTTCTGCTGCTCTCTTTCTTTCATTCTCCTGTAGCAAATGGTGATGAGCCTGCGGGTGTCAGAGCTGCAGGTTCTTCTGGGCTACGCAGGCAGAAACAAACATGGACGAAAGCACGAGCTCCTGACTAAAGCCTTACACCTCCTTAAAGCCGGCTGCAGCCCCGCCGTTCAGATGAAAGTCAAGGAGCTTTACAGACGACGATTCCCCACCAAGTTGGTTTCCCCGGCAGAACTGGCCCTGCCCGGAGTCCACCCCGCCACTGCTTCCTTGCCCCCTGGCCTCACGCAGCTGGGATATGATGGGCACGGTGCGCCCCAGTCCCCTCTGCTTCCCATCTCCCTCCTCGGGCCCAAACACGAGCTGGCCCTACCCCATCTCCCCACTAGCCTGCACCCTGTACACCCTGATGTCAAACTGCAACGGCTGCCCTTCTATGACGTGCTGGATGAGCTCATTAAACCTACGAGTCTTGGTGAGTTTTTGAGGTGTACTATTGAATTGTGTGTGTGTGTGTGTGTTCATGCACAATTTTAGCAGTTTGTTTTTGACAACCGAGTGTTTATTGTATGGCAGCCGTAGAGATGTGCAGACCCGTTTGTCCCTAGATTAGCATTTTTTATGGTGTTGGCTGGTTTGGCATCAGCGTGTTATTTTGCCTTAGTAGTCTTGTTCAAATAGACTACCAATCCCCACAACCAAGCCTCGTCTCTCTCTCTCTCTCTTTTTCTAAACTATCACTCTCACTCTCATTTAAATAGTACACACTCACCATTACAACACTACCACAACATTTTCTTGAACATACACTCACTGTAGGGGTCCAAACAGCCAGGGTCCAAAAATTGACATATATGTATAATAGTAATTAATATACATATATAGGTCCAGTACAGACAACTCAATCCCAGCAGTGCTAGTGTGACGGTGTGGCCTTTAAAGAGGGCATTATATTAACTTTGCTGTATATTTGAAGTGAAGTGGCCTATTTTAAATTTATAAGCAGGCAAGTTAGATACGCTTTTAGTTATTAAACACTAAATAAATAAGCCTACAACACCTTCAGTCTGGGTAAAACAATGATGTCTCGCTCTTTGTGATAATAACTTTTCCTATGTGTATTGTGTATGTGTATAACTTGTGTATTGTGTATGTGTATAATTTAGGGTTGCACGATTAATCGACTTTTAATCACAATCACGATTTTGGCTTCTCACGATCAAATTCGCGTGATTGAGCTATATTTAAAATGCATCATTACGTTCACAGAACACTCCTTGTCAGAGTTTTTTTTTTTTTGCAAAGCCAATCTAGCGCTCCGTAAACCACTGTTTAAACACACTTCACAGTTCTTATTTGATCTTTTCAGCCCTCATAGAAATAAATAAATGAAAGTAAGGGATAATGTATAGCGAGGTGATTGTTATAGCAAATACAACCCCCGCAAACTCTAACGTGAAGCGGAGCGGTCTTGAATCATTCTGAAGGGGTTGTATTCGCTGTAACCGCATTTATTAATTTTAAAATGATTATATTACCGGAGTGAACAGAACTGCATCTATATCAACGTGATCTAGCTGTTAAAATACATGCGATGGTAAAATATGTGATCAACAAAAAAGGCTAATACGTTATATTAAGTAAAAATTAGAAAGTGAATCACCAGTAAAAAGGAATCAACAAAAAAGGCTAATATGTTATATTAAGTAAAAATTAAAAAGTGAATCACCAGGAAAAAGGGTTTAACAAAAAAGGCTAATATGTTATATTAATTAAAAATTAAAAAAGTGAATCACCAGGAAAAATGGAACAGCTTTAGATTCCCCCTCTGTAAATCAGTTGAGCCAATAGTTTAACAAACATTAAATAAATGGCAAAACTGAAATTATACTTAAACCTTGCATTTGAAAGCATATTGCCGTTATCACTCCGACTCCGCTAACTTCAGACATTTTTTATTTTTTTAACAAGATGGCAAAGCTGCGGATATGATTGTGGGTAATTTGAGAGCTGGAAGGCTACACATATGCATCCTTTCCTGTGTATGGGATATTTTCCGAATGAAGGACTCAGTCCTTGGTTGAAATTCTGAGGATCCTCGACAGTGGAACAGTCCTTCGACGGAAGTCGATGACGTAGCATCCTCGAAATTCCGGCTTCTGAGGATCCTTCCTTGACATTGAGAAATGCTGCGAGTGCCGAAAAACGTGCTCGGAAGTATGCGAGAGATACCGAGTGTGGCCTTGCCCCAATACCCACACTAGGCCCTAAGGTCTTCCTCGAAGTGGACACTTGTTGAAAGTGCGCTTAGCGGAGGAAGTGCACAAGGGCCCGAAGGTGTGAAGAGCAGAATTGGGACAGTTTTACACACGTCACAATCTACGTCACTTTGTTGTGAACCGTAGCATGGCGGCCTGTACACAGCCAGCTAGAAACTTTACGTCTTAACCACAGCCAGTTGCTGCTCCTTTCTGCCGCGTTAGATAAGTTCTTTACTGTGTGACACAACTCTTGGCCACTGAATCCGACGTCTCTGAGGAACCGGGTTGTAGAGTGTGCCACAAATCCTCGACAACCCACTTCCACTGGATAAACCTGGACTCTCCATCCTCGCTGTTCTGCTTCAGTGCTTCAATTTCTTCCTCTCATATGCCTCATCTCCGCATCCTACCTTGTCACTGTTATACCGGTTGAACAATGCGTGCTGATCCAGACCACAAAACAATATCTGGTCATAGGTTAGTGGTGGCAGGTGATGTACACAAAGGACAACAGGGATCCTCTCCTACCCAGAGGTTTAGGTTCTGCGGTGATGGGAGAACATCATATGCTGACCTAATAAGGAAACTGATCCTACTCTCTTCCATTGACCAAAGGTCTTGCCAGCCCATCTTGCGTTGTTCCACACTCTCCCTGATTGGCCTCGGAAATGGCCTTTATACACCTCATCCTCTCCTCTTTCTTTCACACCTTGTTGACTTCCAGCTTCCTCCTTTGAGCTGGGCCTGCCTTGTGCCATTTAGGAGGAGGTAAACTGAGCCCAAAACCCCTCTTCCATGCTGTACCTGTCCCACGATATCCCCAATTTTAAGGGCAGCCTTTGCCTCTACTACAGATTTCTTTGCAGACCACTTTCTACCAGTTTTTAACACAGGTGCTGCCTCCCTTACACGTTTGTTGCGTGACTCTACTAAGGTCATTTCCAGTCTGGCACACTTTCCTTGGCACACTTAAACTCCTCAGTTAAAGCAGAGACTGGCAGCTGCAATATTCCTTAACTATAAAGTCCCACTCTGCTGAGGCAGTGTGAAACTCCCAACCATTTCCTGATGTATGAACTTATTAATGCTTCCAGTTTATCCACTGTTGTCAAAGAAACCTCATACACAGTCAGTGGCCACAGCAACCTCGGCAGTTGACCAAACTGGAAGCACAAGAGTTTTAGTTTGCCTGGTAGAGCACAGATGTTTGTGCTCTTCAACCCTTCCACTGCTTGTCGTCTAACTTCTCCAGACTCTTTACTGGCTTCTCCGAAACTGTTGGCATTGCCTCACCATTAATGAAGAAGGTTTTATTTACTACCTTTCCTTTAACTATCGAGATGCTCCTTGATTTAGAGGGCTTAAATTGCATTTGTGCCTATTCAATATTATCTGTTAACTTCCCCAATAACCGATTAGTGCAGGCTACTGTTGTAGTCATGGTTGTCATGTCATCCATATATGCTCTGATTGGTGGTTGTCTCATCTGTTGGTGGCTCTTTTACAGAGCCAATCGCTTTCCTCTTACTACCCATCTTGATGCCCTAATGATTACATCCATTGCCATGGTAAAAGCCAGTGGAGAAATGGTGCATCCTGCCATTATTCCAACCTCTAAGCATTGCCATGTAGTGCTGAATTTTGGAGTTGAAAAACTAAATTTCAAATCTCCAAAATAGGCTTTCAGTAAATTTGTTATTGATATTGGTACTCTGAAAAAAATCAAATATTGCCCAAAGAAGCTCATGTGGCACTGAGCCATATGCATTAGCCAAATCCAGGAATGTCACATGGAGCTCCTTCCTCTCCTTTTTAGCTGACTGAATTTGTTGCCAGATAACATTGATTTGTTCTAAGCATCCTGAGAACCCTGGAATGCCCGCTTTTTGAACTGAAGTGTCAATGAAGCCATTCTTTGGTGGACAATCTCTGAGCAATAATGCTGAAGAAAATCTTACCTTCAACGTTTAATAGTGAAATGGGACGAAACTGAGTGATGCTTGTTGCATATCTTTTTCTTTAGGTATAAAGACTCCACCTGCTCTGCTATGCTCTAGATACTACCTGTTTTTTCCATGCCACTTTTATCAATTTCCACAGAATTCGTAGAATTCCTGAAGCACTCTTGTACACTCTGTATGGGAACTCCATTAGGCTCTGGAGATGATGAAGCCCTTGCCTTTCTCACAGCCTGCTCTACCTCTTTCCACTTAGGTGCATAGACCTCCTTTTGGTATTCTGGTGGATTGATAGGTGGGATGTCTGATGGAATTGACATAGGCTCAAGCCTTTTTGTATCTGTATGCGTTTTCTCCAAATATCTATCTAGCTCAACCCTAGATGCTTTTAAAATGCCATTCTTCTCACTGGTGTATAACTACAAATTTGAATGGGTCTTTATAGAAATTAGCCCTTGCACGCTCCATCTTTTTGTAGTGTTTGCCCGTTGAGGTTCTTTTATATCTTATGCTGGTTAGTCTGACCGGGTTCACAAGTATGAGGATTTTCATCACTAGCTGTGCAAGCCCTCCTCTCCTCTATGACAGGGATGCTGATATCCTGCAAGCTGTGGTTTGCTTCCTGTCACTGGATTTCATTCCACTGACTTGACTGACTTCGTAAGAAGTACTGATCAATGTGAGGCCCTTGTCCCTTCTCCCTCAAGCATTTAATTTTCCCTTGATGAACCTTCAAACCCCTGACCATTGTCACTTTGCTCCAGCCACAGACACAAACTGGAGTTCAATGACTTTATTAACTGAAGATCTTGAACTAGTCTTACTCTCCATACTCATATACGTTTCCATTCGTAAGTCGTTAACCATGTTGTCCAACATTGAGTCATCTTCTGCCCCCGCTCTCACAGACCCTAGGGGTATTTTTCTCTTTAATTTCTCAGAAGCCTTGGGCGGATGTCTCCAGCATCTTGTAAACACTGAGCTGGATACTGCCGACAAGGGTAGCTAACCCTTACCAGCCCCATTGGGGTCTCTTTCCTCCTGTCAGCTGTCTCTCCAGGCTGTCACAAAGTCTTTCCCTTGTTGCCAGCAGCACTATTCACCGCAGTTATAAAGTGTTACCAAACACTTAAAGCTACACTGTGTGATTTTTACCCCCATCTAGCAGTGAAAAGGTATATGACCATCCAGTGAATATTAGTTTCTCTTCCACTCAATTCAGATTTCGTTTTAACTCTTACGGTGGCCAGTGTAGT